GCAATTAACTTTGCAGTGAAATACTCTCATAGTCCTGTCATTTGAACTGTTGCTCCTATTTGCATGTGTTAGTATTTAGTATAGCATATGCTTATGTTAAGCTCAGTAAACATGACAGTTTCTCTCTAATTCCAGTGAAGGGTTACTGTTTTCAGGGCATTTTATTTTTCTGTAGAAAGTTGTTCTTACTGTAAAAATTATAAATGCCCCAGGCCAGCTCTACATCACTGTGGTCAAGCCGTGTGCACAGGTGGCCAGATCCCACGTGGCCAACTACAGTTCAAGTCTCAGTCGCAGGGACTTGAAAAACACAAGGGGTGTGTGTGCATGCATGCCCAAAGTTCTGACAGGATGAAGAAATGGAAGAAAAGATTGTGGTGTCAACACATTGAAAGGTTCTCTCTCACGCTCTCTTCTCTCTTTCTATATCCCCTACCCCATCTGGTGAGCACATATGCCCTCTAGCAATAAAAAATAATAATAATAATGTCTATTAATAACTAAAAGTCAAAGAATCCTGAAAGACAGACATCCTGTGACCCATTGCCTTCCTTTCATGGTTGAGAGAAACTAAGGTTAATTGACTTCCCCAAGGTCACAAAGCTATTAACTTCCAAATTGATGGTCTTGAACTCTGGTCCCCTGAGTCACGGTCTGGTAATATTATTTCAGCTCTCAGAAAACAGTTTTCAATCCTTTTCTAGTCCTCTAGGTTAGGAGGTTTGAATCTCTCACCACTTTAGATGCTCCCCTGGTTATAGCTCTGTTTTCCAATAATCCTATTAAACAGACTCTCTGAGGGACTGTGGGGGATGGAGGCACTCACTTATTGCTAATAGCCTCTTCATTGAGCATAACCTTCATGCAAAATATCCTAGCATTCTTAACTAAAAATTATCAGAATTCTGGTTTGGCCATCCCAACTAATAGGTATAAAACTAAATATTAAGGAAATAAGTAAAAAGGAAAAGAAAGCCAGTTCATAAAAAGAGGAGTTTAGAGTACTACCTAAAAATAGCTCAACATTTGGAGAATGTTCTAGAATAATATGTAGTTGTCAATAATGGTATGTAAACCAAATAGCAATAAGGAAAGTTTTGTAAGTGGAAAAAATAAAATATAGAATGGCATATCAATTGTAGCGTACAGGCATGGTAAGAAATTAGTGCTGTAGGACCAGCTTGGTAGTGCAATAGGAATGCGCTGGTCAAGCGATTCTGGATCTACATGGGAGATTGTAAGTTTGGTTCCCTGGTTGAACTGTCCACGTGACTTAGAAGCCCAGGATCCTGGCTGACTAGGAAGACTGGAGGGAGAGAAGGAGAATCACAGCCTAGGACCATTGTTGAGGGTCTTGTCTTTCCCTCTTCCTCTCTCTCTGTCATGAAAGAAGTAAGCTTTATTTTCAAAAGAAAAGAAACTAAGAGTTGTAAATGTAGATCTTTCAAAGAAGAAGGGTTCTTTGTAAATTTTTGTTGGTTTGTGTGTGTCCATTATCCCTGGTCTTATTGATCAAGTCTACAATAAGGACTGTAATGCCCAGCAGTGAACATAGCCAGCGTCAGAGAGCTGTGGGAGGGAGTGAGAAGAGGCGGGTTATGAGGGAGATCTGGGTCAGGCTGCTGATGGCCTTATGCCTCATTACACTGAAGAGTTTGTCATTAACTTCGAAATAGGTGTTCTGATTGCCACCAATGTGCTATCAAACAAAGCCCACGAAAAGCCGTAAAACCAACATTTCTAGGATCTGTTATTCACCCACGGATACAACCCAAGCTGAGCAAGATATTTGGAACCTAAGAATAGAAATACATGATCAACTGAAACTGCCAGATATTTTTACACTTATTCTTCCACTGAGTCAGCTTTCCCTAAATCGCAGTTTTTTAGATAATTTTTACTCTTGACATATGAGAATCTCACATTTGTTTTTGTTGATATTTTTCTTTTTGGTTCCAGCTCAGTATCCCAAGAATTTGAGAATTCTTTGAGCACCTTTAATGTGTCTTATTATTTAAGATAACCTCTATATTATCTTACATTGTGGTATTTATCATAAAATAACTAATCATTATTATTGAGAATTTACTATGGGCCAAGTACTATGCTAAATGTTTTACCTCATTTCATCCTCAGAATAGGCCTACAAAGTGGGGATTATTACATCCTCCCTGCCAAAGATCATTTAGTGTCAGAGACAGGATTCAGATATGTTTGATGACAAATCCCATGCTCTTAGCCACTGCAAAGTACCATTATTGAACATTGTTTCTGGTTTCATCCATTAACACTAAAAAGCCTAGACTTAGGGCAGATGTCTGAGATAACCCAGTAGAGAGGTTCTTTTCAATAGACAAAACCACTAATTCATGTTCACTGGGTATTGTGATTATCTAATTACCAAATCATTTGACAAGACTATTATCCACCCAACTTTCACAGTTTTAGTCACACGAATATCATGAAAGACGGTTAAATGCTTTGCAGAATTGAAAAATAGTATGTCCATGACATTCTCCTTATGTACTAACATCTGCGTTTCTCACCTATTTTATTGTTTTCTTTCTAAGAAGTCACCTCACCTACATTACGGTTTCCTCGCTAACTTACCCATCACATCATATGTAGCTAGTCATTCTAAATTCGGACTCATGGTGAACCCCTCTGTCATTTTCCATTCAAAACCTTCTAATCTCATTTCCAAGACCTCAATGCATTTATAATTCTACTTCAAGTAGAAGTAGGTATATGAGCAGTTGCTCTAAAAAGTGTCTGTAGATTTGTATTAGATTATTAAAAGGCAACTATGATGTGAACTCCTGTAAATCACTTATAAAATATACAGTTTTCTAAATATTTATATGAAACTCTTTATAACCTAATTCCTAACACCCCAGGAATCATCTGCTTCTATGTCTCACCCTTCAATATCCGCCACGGTCACATACTCACATGTAAAACACATCACACTCCAATATCACCTCCTGAATAAAATCTTCTCTGATCTATCCAAGCAGCATGAAGTACTTTTATAGACCTTTGCTCATACCATTCTTTTAAAGAATTTATAAAATCAATGTAGTTATTGGATTGCAGATTGATCTACCCCATCATCAAATTCCAGGTTCCAATTACACGGTGCTGATGAATCTGATACTCTGTTTTAGCAACTGTGGAGGTCCCATAAAAAAAAAATAATAATACTCCGATAGTGCCTGATCAGAGTGGATATAAGCAAGTGTGTGTTAAATTGACGATTAGTTACCAAGCCTAAGATATTGGAAGCCAAGAGAAGCTAAAAAAAGAAGGGACTACCAGGAACTAGAGTGATCAAAGAAAGCTTTATTGAGGATGAAGGTACAAAGGTAAATTTTTTTCATGCTGGAGAAGAGGACGGAACATACTACAGGCAAAGAAAACAAGCATAACTCTAAAGTATATAGTCCATGTGAGAGCTGTGGGTGCATAAATGTTTGATAGGAAAGGAAAGCACTGAATGTGTGACTTAGTTAAATACTTGGCAATTACAAAAACTTTACTGCTTGGTGCCATGCCTAGAGGTTAAGAACAAAGGCAGCGGGGCCGGCAAGTGGCGTGGTGGTTAAGGGCGCTGGATTCCCACATGGCCGACTACGGTTCTAGTCTCGGATCTGGTGGCTTGCGTTCTCACTTCCTCTCTTTCTCTCTCCCTCTCTCTCTCTGTACCTCTCTGGTCAATATTAAAATAAATAAGTAAATAAATAAAATTAAATAAAATAATTCTTAAAAAAAAAGAACTAAGGCAGCAATCTTATACTTTGATTCTTTTGGAAGCTATAAGTTATAGCAAAATGGTAACAGGAAAATATTTCATTTAGATGAGTGGTATGGTACAGTGGAAAACTACGCATGTTATGTCTGAGTCTACATTTGAACTTTTGTTTCACCTCTTTATTATATTGAGAAGCCACTTTTCTCGATAAGCTCGAGTTTCCTCTTCTGTACAATAGGACTAATCATGCCTACTCTATAAGCAGATGTGGGCTTGAATTGAGATCATTCGTGGAAGGCACCTAGTACATTGTTACCTAGTCGATGACGAATAACAGGAGTGCGACTGGTATTTTTAGTACTGGGAATTGGTGCGCTTATCTGCTCCATGAATGTGAACCTTTTGGTTGTATATGTTTTTGGACATGTAGACTTGAGTTTATTTGTCCTGAGAGGATTTGGGCTTTTTGAAATGGAAATAATTGAGCTGGCTCTGTGGCCTAGTGGTTACAGTAGCTGGATCTCACATAACCTACTGTACGGTTTGAGTCCCAGATCTGGCGACTTGAGAAACACTCTGGGTACGTGTGTGTGTGTGTGTGTGTGTGTGTGTGTGTGTGTCCAAAATCCCAAAAGGAGGGAGAGATGAAAGAGAAGAGATTTCGGCATGACATCTCTCCCTCTTTCTCATTCTTTCTCTAGCGAGTGCATGCATTCATTAACACACATGTGTACACACACACACACACACACACACACACACACACACAAAATGAAACGGAAATAATCCAGAAAAGGACAATATGTAGCATGCTACCACTTAGCTGCTTGTCTCTCTCAAATGAAGACATGCAAAACGTTTCATTATAGGCAATTGATTAGGTTGAATGCTCAAATAGGAAATGAACCATTTTCTTTATTAACCACCTGCTGTGCAAACTGTCATGCAAATACTGCCTTATGCTTTATGCAAAATATTTTAAAACCTATGTGACTTTATTCATCTGCTTGGATTTTCTTTCCTGTAAAATAGTTAACTGAATGTATTTCAAGTCTGTGTGTCTATAAAACCAGCCAAATATTTCCTTTTAAATACTTGAGCTCTATGTTTAATATACGGAGTTAGGGTTCTTAGCATTGTTTTTCCTGTAATAGATTTTATCCTTTAGTCCTTTACTGAGCTTTTAGTTCCATACGTACTAAAGTGTCTCCTATGCTCATAATAAATGAGCGCTTTTTGTTTCATGCAGGTTCTTCCAGGGGACCAAGCCCCTTGACCATGGGAGCCCAGGACACCCTCCCTGTTGCAGCCGCATTTACAGAAACAGTCAATGCCTACTTCAAAGGAGCAGACCCAAACAAGTAAGCCAGGACTCATCCACTGCGTCCTCTGAACTGTTTCCCATCTAATGAGCAACACCCTGTATGTCGCTCTTCCATTCTTTATCCGGAAACCAAATAAGACCCAGTTAACAGTAATCGGTAGCCTGCCTAGAAGAGAACATTTAATTAGGACTATTAATCTACTATTTATTAAAAAGGAAAAAAAGTATCAAAAGATCCAATCATCTAATATCTTGCTACCTAAAAATCTTTGATTCAGTTTTGGTTGCAACTAACTGAAAACCCTAATCCAATTCTGTCAGCAGTGAGAACATTTATTATCTTAGGAAAGTGAACATCCAGATCATGTCTTTTATTTTCATAGCCTTTTCTAAGTACAAATCATTTGAACTGAAATGGGGGACCAGCAGACGGCATAATGGTTACACTGCTGGACTCCCACATAAGTCAACTACGGTTGAAGTCCTGGAGCTGGCAGCTTAAAATGCACACCAGGCATGTGTGTGTGTGTGTGTGTGTGTGCGTGCCCAAGATCCTGAGAGGATAGTGGAGGAGAAGGGACTGCAGTGTGACTATCCTTCCAGGGGATGATTTCTTAGTTTCTATCTCTCTCGTAAACACACACACCCTGTAGCAAAAATCTCTTTAAAAAAAGAAAAAAAGAAAGAAAGAATTGAAATGATAGTGCATTGGAATGAATGAGACCATAGGAGATTAAACATCCCAAAACATCCAGAGTGTTGTATGTTCTCTTGTTAACAAGTTATGTTATCCTTGCTAAGTAAAGAAAAACTGCCCTCCCCAAGAAAGAGAGAAAATTATTATCATAGTAAAGTATTAAAGTCTAGGCAAAAATAAATCACGCCCTATTTACAGGAACCCTAGTTTGCTTCTGTCCGTGCATTCTGACATTGACCTCGACCTGAATGTCTACATGATATGATTAAATATTTTACTTCTTGATAAGGAGTTCATGACTAGGATTCAGGAAGTCTATGGAGTCCCTGAAATTGTATTGTATATCTTATGTGTGCATTTTCCAAACACAGAGGTTTACAACATTCGGCACTTCAATAAAGGAGCTCATAAGCCAGAAAAGTCCAGAGTGATCATGGGTCTACACTGAAAACTAAACACTAAAGTCAAAGTGGTTTTCAAATGAGTCACTAATATATTTACAACTCTGAATTAAACTCCTAAAGGTCGCACCTTGGTGAGGAAAGAATTCCTTTTAATGGTTCATTTACAAAGACTAGGGCTTGGGAAGCCTTAGTATCAATGACAATAAGAATGACAGAAAAAAAATTGAATGTGCATATAGAACACTAGACTATATTATAAAAATTTTTGAAACAGTGATAATTAAATAAAATTAAAACATGGATCTCCATGTATATTTTAAGTGAGAATTTGTATGACTAATTGTGAATCTTCTTCACATTACAGAAATACTAGGGTTTTTTTTTAAAAAAAAGAATTATTTTATTGGGACCAGCATTTAGCATAATGGCTATGTCGCTGAACTCCCATGTTGTCAACCATAGTTAGAGTCCCGGACCCTGTGGTTTAAACTCATGCCTGGTGTGTGTGCGTGCATGCCCAAGATCCCGAGAGGAGAATGGAGGAGAAGGGATTGCAGCGTGACCATACCCCCTGGGGGGTGATTTCTTGCTTTCCGTCTCTCTGTCTCTCTCTGTTTTTCTGGCAAGCGCATGCGCCCTATAGCAAAAAAAACCTCCACCATCCCCCCAAAAAAAGAATTATTTTATTTAACTTCATTTATCCATTTATTTATTTTAATTTGACCAGAGGGGGACAGAGAGAGAGAGAGAGACAGAAAGTGAGAAAGCAAACCACCAGGTCCAAGACTCGAACCACAGGTCAGCCATGTGGTAGTCCAGTACCCTTAACCACCACTGCACCTGCTGACCCTGCAGAAATACTAGCTTTTTAAAAGTCTCAATCTAACAATATTATATTCTAATTAGTAACACTATTTAATTATAATAGATGAATACTTCTTTACACGTCTAATCCGGGCACTGGAGTCTATCATCAACCTAAGCGTTAGTAAATCAGCAAAGGCCTAACTCTGACAGTTGAGATGTAGAAGCATAACTGAGAATCTTCAGTGCATCTTACAAGAGACATCTAGATTACTTCTCCCATTTTCTACCCACTACTATAAGCCTCTTGAAGACAGGAGTCCTCATATTTTAATTGCCTTCCCTTTCAATGATAATAATACAATAACTGGCATAGTTAGGAGTGAGCAAATATTTGTTGACTTAATCAATGCCATCTCCTGCCCTCCTGGGCTTGCTTTTAAATGAGAACCTTTATCCCCTACCAAGATTACCTCGCTCAGGTCTCATTCTGAGGAACCTGGAAAGGAAACGGAGTCGATCCTTACCAGTTAAAAAACATTTGAGCCTCCACTGCTAACAAGATCCTGAGGAATAACAGGTGCTGAAATCAAATCTAGCAAGTGCTTTAATGCTTGTTTTCTCCTAGAGCTGCCAGTAACATTCTGCATGGCCACACACTGCCAGACACCCCCAGTAGACTCAGCCTGAGAGTCCAGACTCCCACTAATCAACACCAGTAGACACAAGGCGAATGGATCTAAAGGTGGAGAGGGAGGGCAGCAGCTGGACTCGCTGGAAGATCAGCGTCTCCTGGAGAGACGGAGGTGCAAACTGCCAGGAACCAAAGTTCTCATTCAGAGCACTGCAAAGTTAGGGACATAGCGTTTGAGTGAGGGAGGGACACGTGGCCATTTTAAGAAACTCGCCTGCCTCTCACCTCCTCCTAATCCAGCCTTATACATACAAGGATTTAGCAGCTCTATGTTGCTTGTGTGCCAGGGACCACCTGCCCTGAGCTGGACATGTCTCGTCAGTCACAAAGTTACACTGTATATAAGGTGACTGTGGGACAAAATAGAGTGCCTCGTGCTCACCTGTAAGGAAAGTTTCCATTTGTTAGCCTCAGTTTCCCTAGAAAGCACATTCCTGAACTAACCTAGGGCTAAGGAAGTGATCATGAGAATCAGCTGTCCAGATCAAGGTAGGCGTTGTCGGGATACTCACTCATTTTAGACATTTACTATTCCTCCAAAAAGAAGAGTTCTGCATCTGGCCAATGCGGGATAATGGATGAATTTGCCCTCTTACCTGAAACAACTGAAAAATGGACAAAATAGCTGGCCCCCATACACTAGAGATTAAGAGAGCCGGATCCCACATGGCTGACCATGGTGTGAATCCCAACTTCGGCAGCTTTAAAAATACGCTGGGCGTATGTGCCTGCATGCCCAAAATTCCGACGGAGTGGAGGAATGGAGGAAAAGGGATTGCAGCATAACCACACTCCAGTGGAGGCAGCGTTCTCCCTTTCTCTTCCTGTCTCTCTGTCCCTTTATTGCCAGCTCTCTGACAACTAAAAAATAAAATAGGCAAAACAGAGGAAGAAATATCTGCAAGACAGCAGACCTCAGTGATCCTTGAGAAGTGAAATGTGCGAGACAATGGCTCCAACTTGCTTCCTGGAGTTTTCAGGCATGGCTCAGTGAGAGCGAGCATACTCCCAGTTCTTCATGGGGACATGTGTCACCAAGGCACTCCACTATAAAACTGACTGAGAAAAGTGCCCAAGGAAGCCAATGTGTGGGTGCTGCTGTCTACCATCCACTGTGGAAGCCAGCAGTGGAGAAAGTAAGCACATGGCTGGAACCGGAGCCTAAGAACCCACCTACATTGCAGGATCTTGGGCACAGGGGCAACCCAACCACTTGTACTACATAAGCCAGATAATAAGAAAGCTAACAGGAACTGGCAGAGCTACGTGGGTTGCAAAGACTGCTCTGGGGACACCCATGCACTGCAGGAATCACACACAAGCCTCTTGCACTGTAGGAGCCTGGCACTAGGTAAGCCTGAAGCATTGCAGAAGACAGCAGACTGGAGTGAGGGAAAACCCTTTCCTCCTGTAATACCTCTCCAGTGCCCTCTACTGACAAAATGTAGCATATATGCCTGTTTGCAACAGAAATAAATACATAGGGGCCTATTATTAATAATCTCAGAGTAGACAATAAAGGGTGAGTTAGAACTGAGGCAGTAAATTGAAATGATGTACAAAGTGATTCTGAATTTCATATAAAAATGTCAAGGGTCTACAATAGTCAAAACAGTTTTGAAAAAGAAATAAGTTGGAAGAGTAACATTATTTGGTTTCTGAACTATCACAAAACTACAGTAATCAAGACAGTGTGATATTGGTTTGAATGATAGACAAAACAGATCAATGAAATAGAATAGCGAATCCAGAAATAGACCAATGATAATTCAGCAAAAACTAGAAAGAATCCAAATGTTCCCCAATATGTAAGTGGATTTTTAAATGCTGATACATCCATACACTATAGAGCACAGAGATGAGTCACCAATGCATACAACTGCATGGATAGATACAAAATAATTATACTGAATGAAAGAGTCAGACCTCCCCACCCTGGGGGGAAAAAAGCATATACTTTATGATTCTGTTATATAAAATTCTACAAAATGTACTCTAACAGATAATTACACAAGCCGTATTAGCAATTACCTGTGAATGGGGAATAGGTAGACAGGAAAGATTACAGAAGGAATAATAAGGGACCAGCAGATGGCATAATGGTTACATCACTGGACTCCTACATAGCCGACTGAGGTTTGAGTCCCCTACCTGGCTGCTTAAAATTTACACTAGGCACATATGTGTGTGTGCCCAGGATCCCAAGAGGAGACTGAAGGAGAAGGGATTGGGCATGGCCATCCTCCCTGGGGTGTGATTTCTCATTTTCTCTCTCTCTCCTCCCGCCCCCGGCTACCACATGTACCCTGTAGCAAAAATCTCTCTTAAAAAAAAAAGAATTATAAAAAGCATGAGGAAACTTTTAGAGATGATGGGTACGTTCATTATCTTGAGTTTCATGTAATACTAAATGATGAAATTTTACACTATAAATAAAGTCTTTTTAAAAAATTTGCCACAGGGCATGTGCCCTCGCTGAGGGGGACACAGGGTAGAAAACAGAGTGAGATAGAAAGTGAAAAAGCACTCCCCAAGGGGAAAGTCATGCTGCAATCCTTCTCTGCCATTCTTTGCTCGGGGTTTGGGGCATACATGCACATGTGTCTAACATGTTTTTCAAGCCACCAGATCGGGGACATGAACCACACAGTTGACCATATGGGATCCAGTAGCCTTAACCGCCACGCAATAGACTGGACCTATTAAGGCTTTTAAAAGAAAAAAGAAAAAGAGAGAGAGAGAGAGAATTACTCTTCCTTCCAAACTATCATCCTGTTGGATGACTGGTTTTACGATTCTGACCAAATAGACAAGTCAATGGCATAAAGAACTAGTAAAATAAGAAAAAGAATTTTGTCTCATGCAAACACACACGAACATGCTCAAAGCATTGCGTATCTTACTCAAAGAACCAAAAGAAGTCCCAGTAAAGTGTGATAATGCCGTGCAATTCGCTATCTTCAGATATACTACCCAAAACTCAGAAATAAGTAAGAACCGCCAGAGTGCATGATTCTACCCTTGAGATGAACCAACAGACTTCTACAGAAAAAGAAAATTTGGATTTGTCTTCTCACAGTTCAGAACACATTCAACTACTCTTTTTTAAATTAATTAATATACTCACTCATTTATTTATTTATTGCAGTAAGTGTGAAGCCATCAAATTTTCAGATAAGTTAGGAATTATTTAGTAGTTGAAAGCGTAATTATAAGAGCTCCCCTGCTTCTCTTCTGCTGTTTAACATTGTTATATAAATCTTTTCTGTTTCCCGATCGTTTTCTTCACTGTATACTGACCTAGGTTTTTTTTTCTCTCTTCCCTCTCCTGTGTTTTGATATGCCAGATGTATCGTTAAGATTACTGGAGAAATGGTGTTATCCTTTCCTGCCGGCATCACCAGACACTTTGCCAACAACCCCTCCCCAGCTGCTCTGACTTTTCGAGTGATAAATTTCAGCAGGTTAGAACACGTCCTGCCAAATCCCCAACTTCTCTGCTGGTAAATATGATTTTGCACAAACTTTTTAGAAATGTGTGTGGCTTAGCACTTTATACTTAGATGAGAGAGACTTTAGCCAGAGAATAGCACTGTAGCAAAATTACCACAACTCAAATATGCTTGTAGATTCAGACACAGAGCTTTTACGTACTATCAAAAGTTTGCTGCGGGTGATTGCTTTTGTATGTGTAGCTGCATATGTATATGTGTATCCAATGACCCGCTATTCAACTTGTTAAAGAGACGGTTTGAGTACAAGGTCTGTATTAGTGAGGACTTATTCACTGTCAGCTTTACTCACTAGCAGTATACTAATATAGTTGAGCAAGGTGGGTAACGAGCCGAACAATAGGCATAAAGTCATTTGTTACACTAGCATCTTGCTAAATCAAATGGTATTTGAACTGTGAGCTACTTTTCACATGAGTTTGGGAATCTTTTTTGTGAAATGTATCATTTCATTGTAATGCTACTTGTTTTGATGAAACTTTCCCTGTGTTACATCAAAGAGGCTTACATGAATTTGTTTATGTCGATAGGCTCTCCACACTTTTTGACTAGTAAGCCTGTCTATGATATCTTCATTGCACATATGCTCACAACAGTCACACAAACACACACACATGCATGCCGTTCAAATAACCAACTACATTATGTTAGTGGTTCATAAGGTGTGAGGTGAAGTCATTCTTGACAGCTTCCGCTCCATCATCCAGCTCTGATATCCCAGCTAAAATCTCTATGGTGGTCACCGTCTTCCTCGACTGCAGTTGCTTCCCTCCTCTTCCTGAATCTAACCACACTCACTCCAATCCATTTTAACCTCCAAATGACCTTTTATGAGGTCTATCAGTCCATCTTTGCTCATAACCCTCTGGTGGCCTTACATGACACCTGCCTCAGGATTTAAACCTGTCACAGGGTCCCTGAGGCCCTGAGTCCTGTATCTCCACTTGCCTTTCATTTCTCATCTCCCACCATCCTGCCTCAGAACACCCATGGCTCCAGCCAGACCTACTGATCTCAGAAACAGGCTGAGACCTTTCCTACATCCGGGTTCTGTTGTGCTGGTTTCCTCTGCCTTGAAAACTCTTTATGCCCTTCTTCACCTGACTCCTGCTCATCCTTTAGACCTCAACTCCATTCTGGCTACCCTCTTCATCCCACTATCCTCCCACCCCACCCACCAGCCCCAAACAAAATTTAATGCCCTTGTTATTCTCTCTCAAGACACTCTATTCCTTTGTAGCCTTCACTGCAATTAATGACTAAATGTCTGTTTGTGTTTCTGGATGTGGTGGCACCCACCTTATAGCAAATACCTATTTCTGTTTCTTGGTTCATGCATCTCCCCCATGAGTACACCACTGTCTCCTCAGTACCTTCCGCTGTGCCTGGTGTCAATAAACACCTGAGTTATGTATGTCAAATGAGTGAACTCACCATACTTTTAAAAATTTAATCAATCTGAGTGTTTCTGTAGGAACACCTAAGGGTTGTTGGTATTTCGAACTTGGGAACAAACAAAAATCCTGACTTTCCTGACTGAATGAGACTTTTTCATTCCTGTGGTGATAAAACAGTCCCAGGCCTTTCAGGGGATTACCAAAACCTCTTCTTCTTTGGTTCTTGCTATGGCTTATCCCACAAACTTGATTTCAGGTTTAAAAGCATAAAAAACATGATCACCCATTTAGATGAAAAGGAAATGTGAAATGACTGAAGTGGAAAATCAGCAAATTCTGAATTCAGTTACCCTCTGTTCTTGATGTACATATTGAGTCGACTTTATTTTTGAGATTCATCCATCTCACCAGTTTGTTTGTAAATATGAGTGGTGTAATAGTTATAGCTTTTATTGCATTTTAGGTAGTTATTTTGCTCAATTTTTAGGCATCTGTACAAAAGCTGTGTACATATATTTGTTATCAGTCTTATGAATTGAATTAAAGATAACTCAAAATATTTTTCCTTAACAAAACATTAAATAGACCATTAACTTGCTATTTGCAAAACAATTAAAATGACCAGAAAAATCCCCATTGATTTGGATCTCATAACTTTAAATTACTTAATTATTGTGACAGGACTGTAACAGGTGACCCTTTAGCCTTATACAGCCTGTCCAGTTTTGGAATATGGTACAACTCCGTCACCACCACTACACTTATTTTTTAAAAGGCAGAGATGACCCAGCATTTTTCTTAACAACAGTACAAGCCTTTCGGTATCTACCACATTACTCCCAGTCAAGTCTCTCCTCAGTGTCTAATGAAAAACTTAGTTTAGTAGCATGGCTGCTGGAGACAGCTAGGCTTGCAGTTCCATGACAGAAAACATACTGAAGTTTACATCCACTTCCTCTCATGAAATGGTTTTGCTTGTAAAGGATATTCAGGAACCGTCATTAACCCAACCATGAGACTGAAGAATTCTTTTTTTTTTTTTTTTGAGAGGTTTTTTCCTATAGGTCACGTGCTCTCGCCAGAAAGAAGCGAGAGACAGACAGAAAGCAATAAATCACCCTCCGGAGGAATGACCACGCCGCAATCCCTTCTCCTCCATTCTCTTCTTGGTATCTTGGGATCGCATGCATACATGCCCAGCATGAGTTTAAGCCAGTGGGTGCGGGACTCAAACCATGGTCAACTACATGGGAATCCAGCAATATAGCCATTACACCAACTGCTGGTCCCAAGACTGAAGAATTCTTAAGAATTCTTGAGTATTTAGAAATTTCATTTCTGGGCCAGCAGGTGGCATGATGATTAAGGCACTGGATTCTCACTTGGCCAACCATGGTTTGAGTCCTGGACCTAGCAACTCTAAAATCACAACAAATAAATAAATAAATAAGCATTAAAGGGGCCAGCAGATGGCATAATGGTTATGTCGCTGGACTCCCATATAGCCAACCACAGTTCAAGTCCAGAATCTGGAGGCTTGAAACTCACGCCGAGCCCATGTGCATGAGTGCCCAAAATTCGAAGAAGAGAATGGAGGAGAAGGGATTGTGGTATGGCCATCTCCGCTGGGGGGGTGATTTCTAGCTTTCTGTAACTCTGTCTCTGAGGCAAGCACACACTCCCTAAAGCAAAAATCTCAAATAAATAAATAAGTAAACATTAAAAAAAAAAATTTTGTTTTTGCATAAGCATTTGATTGACAAAGTTTTCTTGAACATTTATTAAAGTGGGTTCTCTGAAAATTTAGCATAGACACATGACTTAGTTTATTTTCTTATTAAACTAAAATAAAAACACTTTAAATTTTTTTATTTAATTTTATTTATTATTATTTTAATTTGCTATAAGCATACAAGCTTGACAGAGAGAGAGAAAGTGAAAAAGCAAGCCTTCCAGCCCAGGACTTGAACAGAGGTTGACCATGTCCAGCACCTCAACTACCACACCACGTGGCTTCCAGCCCTAGGCCTTTTATTTAAAAATGTTACAATTGAGATTTTCCCAATTGTTCATTTCTGGTTAGTATAAAATAATGAACTATTGTAGATACTAATTTTTTGAGCCCTTGCTTTGGTATAATGGGAAAGTATGACATCTGTGACTGACTGGGCCTGGAATCCTAACTTGCTTACTTATTAACTGTGTGAACGTAAGCAAATTACTTAATTTCACTGGCCCTCTAACCCTCTTATCTCCTGCCTGTTGTGTAATGAGGTTCCGGAGGATTAGGGTAACTTGGATGATTTTAATTGTAAAAAGTTTAGATAGCCTTTACCAGCATCCTTAGCTCCACTGGACCAGTGGCAACATCTCAAAGGCCAGGAATCTTCTCTCGTTCCCTCCCTCTATTCCTAGAGTTACGGTGTTCTCAGTAACCTTATACCAGAGCACAGCAGAACCACCAGGTCATGCTGAGACCTAGCCACTCCCGTCTACACGTCTAACACCCTGATGTTTCTCACTCCGCTTTCTTGATTTGTTCGATTGCTGGAGGCTGAATCATAGCTTTTGACTGGGCTTTACCACTTTTCTACTTCATCACCTTCTCTTTCTTAACTCTAATTTCTACTTTTTATAAGTTTGCTCATCTTGAAAAATGAGGATAATAATTCTCTTTTTGCAGGGTGATTTTCATGAAATAGTTTGTAATGTATCAAACAAAGGGCTGATCAATAGTAAGTGATCCAAGAAATTATAGCAGCTATTATTGTATCATATAGGATATCCTGGAAGTGAAGGGTCAGTAAATGAGTTGTGTTTCAAGTTACTGAATCACTTGGGGCCTTAGTTTTCCCTTTATGTGGGAAGTGAGCAAATGCCTTGTACATCTCTTTGCCTGGTTCTTTTTATCACCGAGAGAAGCATTTGCAAGATAGATTGAGTGACTGGTCTGTGGACAGGCCTCTGAGCAAAGCTAATGATTCTTGCAGGGAAACAAAACTCCTTAGTTCATCAAGACCGCACAGTACTTTTCTATTATTAACTAGCAGGATTATTATCATTTAAATACAGAATCCTCTTCTAAGTGAGTTGACATTTCTGGTGAAACATTGCAAATGCTCAGAAGGTAGCATGGTCATTTTAGTACCACACCTTCCTCCTTAGTTGTGATAAAGACTATGTGGACACTTGGCCAAATATCTAACTGGATAACTTCTGAGAACTATAGTCAAGTCAATTTAAAAAAAAAAAAAATCAATGTATTTATCTCTTGGATTTCATTAACTGGCTAATTTAGTAGAAGCTGGTGATGTAGAAAGGGCTATTAAGCTTGAGTTCATAAATTATTCACTCTTTAGAGCAACCAATTATTATCTTAATTGGTTAACATTAATGGGGAATCGCTGAGATCTATAGCTCCTCCCTATGGATATTAACCTATTAACATAATACCATCCAGAACTGCATTTGTACTAAAACCACACTAGTGTTAATAGCATAATCTCTACCAACTGTCAAAGAGGGATACGGAAATTAGATGACAATTTGCAAAGATACTTTTCATTGGATCTGCATTTGTTCTAAGATGCTACTCAATCATTTTGTCTTCCCAATTGATAGTGATAATACACAAAATGATGCCAATACCAAGGAATTCTGGGTAAACATGCCAAATTTGATGACTCACCTAAAGAAAGTATCTGAACAAAAACCCCAGGCTACATATTATAACGTGGACATGCTAAAATATCAGGTAAGCCTATTTATGTGTTTAGGATGTCTTTTTCACATTACAAAATTATATTCTAATGTATCCAGTATTAAACAGAAGTAAATGAAGTAATCTTTCTTTTAATATTAACTAAGAGATATAATTTATGAGACAATAGATGTCTTAAAGGACTACTTGGGGACTAGTGATAAGAATATTTATACACAGAACCACCAGTTGGCATAATGGCTATGTCACTGGACTCCCATGTAGTCGACAGCAGTTCAAGTCCTGGACCCAGTGGCTTAAACTCATGCCAGGTGTGTGTGCGTGTGTGCCTAAGATCCTAAGAGGAGAATGGAGAAGAAGGGATTGTGGCATGGCCATCCTCCCATGGGGGTGGGGTGTGTGTCTGTGTGTGATTTCTCGCTTTCTGTCTCTCTGTCTCTCTTTGTCTTTCGGGCAAGTGCACGCACTCTATAGCAAAAACCTCTCCAGAAAGAAAAAAGAATATTCATACATATCCTTATTACTTCAAAGTAAAATATTTTTTAAAAATATTAGAGAAACATAGCCAGGTGCAATGTGAATTAAGTTGGCTTTCTACTTGCTACTGTCCCTGGGTAGTTAATCCCCAATACCTCAAGTTTCTCTACCTAGTATGATATTGACCTAGTATGTTATACATAGGAAGAAAATAACCTTCCATGTTTTAAAGTACTTTAAAACGCAAGTAGCCCTAGACCTGTCATTTTATTTCATTTTATTTTATTGAGAGGTTTTTGCTACAGAGTGCGTGCACTCGCCAGACAGACAGAGACAAAGAGACAGAAAGCAAGAAATCACCCCTCAGGAGGATGGCCACGCCCCAATCCCTTCTCCTCCATTCTCCTCTCGGGATCTTGGGCATGCACGCACACGCGCCCGGCGTGAGCTTTAAGCCACCGGATCCGGGACGCAAACCGCGGTCGACTATGTGGGAGTCCAGCGACATAGCCATTATGCCAATTGCTTGGTCCCATGTCATTTTATTTTAAATGTGCTCTGAAGAATCCCTTTTTGTTGGTCAATTGTGTCTTTGTTGTTTTTACGCAATGCAAGAAATCAAGTGGGAGACATAACTAGTATTTTGTGGAATTGCCCTCAGATCGCAGCATGTTTCATTTCTGGCCACCAGTAGCACCCCTCCACAAATTAGGACAACCAAAAACATACCTTCACATATCCAAAAAGCACCTCCCCAGATAGATAAACTACTATCAAATTGAGTAGTACTGCTGAAAATAGGTACAGAAAAGGGGGATGAGGGAAGGAGCTTCTACTCCACTTCTTTTAACTTTATTTATTCATTCATTCATTCATTCATTCATTTTCATTTGACCAGAGAGGGACACAGAAAGAGAGACAGAGACGGAAAGTAAGAAAGCAAGCTGCCAGGTCCAGACTCAAACCACGATCGGTCATGTGGGAGTCCAGTGCCCTTTGCTACATACCTCCACTTTTGACCCTTTAGATCATCAGTTTCTAAATAAAAGCATGTTTTCAGGCAAGATCCTGCTGTTAACAATATTTAAAGTGTATGGACAAATATAATTGTTAAATTCCCATTTGGCAGAAGAGGAAGTAACTGAGGCTCAGAGAAGTTTAGTGACTTGTTCGAGATCACTCTGCTTTTAAGTGAGCAGGAACAGAACTTACCCACAGGGATTGTCTAGTTTCATGGCCTCCAGCTTCTAGAACATGTGCTATTCTACCTGGCTCACTGACATGGTGCCCTGCCAACTCTAAAATGCTTTAGAGATTTTAGTTGATTTTCAACTTCCAACCTATGACAGCTTGCCTGAAGCACCCCATCCTCCCACCTGGCAGCCTTCACATGTTTTTGCATGGAGAGCTCACTTGTGAGCAGCACAAACGACACTGTGACATTTCGGTAGCTAAGAACCTTTCTGTACATTATCATAGCCTCTGGTTTTGCTTCAGATTCATGGTTGAGTCTTAAGTATTCTCTTTTCTGTCATTTGGTAAGGTGTCTGCCCAGGGCATTCAGTCCACGCCTCTGAACCTGGCAGTGAATTGGCGATGTGAGCCTGCAAGCACTGACCTGCGCATTGATTACAAATACAACACGGATGCGATGACGACTGCCGTGGCCCTCAACAACGTACAGTTCCTGGTCCCCATAGACGGCGGAGTCACCAAGCTCCAGGCTGTGCTGCCACCCGCAGTCTGGTAAGGAGCCATCAGTCCCCCTGTCTCTCACCAGGCGCTCCCTTCTGGATAATGGGTTTGCAGCTCTCTTGGCCTTTGTGTTTCCTACCCGGGGAACTTTCTCTTGGTAACAAGCACTGATTGAGAACACAGATATTCATCCTAACAGTTCCACTATTGGACAACCTATAAACTGCTTAAAGAAGCCAGGTCTCACCTGGATCACTGTGGTTCAAATCCCAGCCATGATAGCTTAAAAAAAACAATGTAGGCACATATGTGTGTGTGCCTCAACTACTGACAGGATGGAGAAATGGAGAAGAGATTGCTATGTGGCCATGCCCTACCAGAGGGTACTTTCATTCCCTTTGTCCCTCTTTCTGGCAAGTACACATGCCATCTGACCGTTCAAAAACAAAAACAAGTTCCACTATAAACAATGGCCAGTCATAATCTCATTTTAAATGTAAGACTTAACAAATTTTATTTGATTCTAACATTCAAATCAGGACAGGAAACTGGAGCAGTATATTAAGCAGTGAACGATTTAACACAGAGATCCTAAATGCTTACCCAACAGTGGAAGTGCTAGAGACCTTAGGCAGATTTCCAAGACTGTTATCCAGAACACTGCAGAACTTACCTCACGTAGGAGGTGCTGCCACTGGCACAACCAGGAGAAGGTAGAAGGCTACCAAAGGGACCACTGATTTCAAGGACCCACCACTGTAACTCTGACCCAAGGATCAGAAAGCTCCAGCTGGCTCCTCCTTAACTGCCTCTCAACATCCACAAAGCTGGAGACTCAACTGAACCCTGTGGGTAGATCACCGCATCTCAGTTCCATTGGACCCTTAATCTGTGGAACCTAATTTGCCTCTGGGGCCCTAACTACAAGGGAGTATCGAGAATGTCTGTTCACTTTCTAGCCTCTGGACTATGAGACAGCACACTGGAGAAAGTGTGACACGAGAAACTGAACAGATACTGAGTGCAAACAGCATCCATGAGAAGGAAGTTGTTCTAGAAAGAACACTCCAGTTTTCCATATGACCGTCAGAAACAAAACATAGAACATTTTAAATAAATGAGTGGCAGCCATATGACAGCTCCAATTTAAATTACATGGGTTAATTTTGTGATATATCCCATCTATCATTTCGGTGAATGTATTCAAATTTTTTGCCTCTGCATAGTTCTCGAAATGTTTATCTCACAGTGTTGTAGCTGCTTACAGTAAGTAAAGGAAAAGAGAGAATGCGTGTGTATATGGGTACATAGACAGCTAATGTTAAATGATAGCTTAGGCTTTCAAGATCTATTTTTTAAAACTGATACTATCTGGAGACAATATGGCACCCATTAAACAAGAACCCTTGTGTATGCAAAAAGTTTTTTACTTATTATTATTAGTATCTGCATCCTATTTACTTTACTCGTAGGAATGCTGAACAACAAAGAATATTGTGGAAGATTCCTGATATATCTCAGAAATCAGAAAATGGAGGTAACGTTAATCACAGGCTGATTTTACTTACTACATAAACCTGAAAAAGCTTTTAGATATTAGCCAACCATGAACCAAAATATATGTAATACTAAAAACAGAATTGGGGCCAGCAGGTGGTGTGGTGATTAAGGCACAACTCTCACATAGCTGACCACATTCTTGTCATGGGCCTGGAGGCTTGAAACTCTGCTGGGTGTGTGTGTGTGTGTGCATACCCAAAATCCTGAGAAGAGAACGGAGGAGAAGGGATTGCAGTGTAGCCATCTCCTAGGGGGTGATTTCTCACTTTCTGTCTCTGTCTCTTTAACGAGCTCATGTGCCTAAAGCAAAAATCTCTCTAAAAAATGAAAAGTATCAGCAGAATAGTTCACTTCATTTTTGCATTTAATTATTTCAATCAATAAAAGCAAATAAATCTTCAGTGAATCCTCCCCTTCACATTTCTCCAAAGACCATCCCATAGGCAAAGTAGAGCTCTTGAGCAAGGGTGTTTCCACCCTATGTCACACCCCACGTTCCCTGATGAGATTCTTTTTACCTTCCTCTGATAGTAATCATAGGTTGGAAAATACATGGCCTTCCAAGTGTCGTGCTCCCAAGTTGTGAAGTGCCATTTTGCTCAATTACATTTTTGCCAGTGTGCAAATAGAATCACTCATATTACTCAATGACAAATTTTATTCATCACCACTTTGTTACTGAAGCATTTACTATTTCCTAGGAAGTCAGATTTTGCATGTTCACTTTTGAATACAATTTCCAAAATTATATCCAAAATGTTGTGTTGACTATCTTGTAATAACCTATTTTTCAGGGGTGGGTTCTTTGTTGGCAAGATTTCAGTTATCTGATGGGCCAAGCAAACCGTCCCCATTGGTTGTGCAGTTCACGAGTGAAGGAAGCACTCTTTCTGGCTGTGACATTGAACTTGTTGGAGCAGGGTATCGATTTTCACTTATCAAGAAAAGGTTTGCTGCTGGTGAGTATCTTGAGTTTCATTTGCAAAAATAATATTGCCTTCCTTAGGAAAGAATGGTTATGGTTCTCATCTTTCTCCTCCTCTTCTCCACTTCCAACCCCATCCCAATTAGAAAGCAAGCCAATTGGTGAATTAAGTAAAAATAAGACAATGACCGGCAAAGTAGAACTCAGGAAGGCTCTGGTGACTTACACTAGCTCTGTTTCTTATGTGGGGCTGACCAGTTATCCCCATTACACAAGAGCACTTCAAGAAGTTTGTGGTCTAATGGAATTTTAGGAGTTTATTTTGGTGCTAACAAATTTGGAAATTCATGCCTTTTCTCAATAGTCCACATTTTCCATAAATTTATTGAAGACCCCCTTATGTAGATAGGCACCCTGAGGTTAATGGAGAAAGTTCTAGTTTTGTTATATTGACAAACTATAATAGATAAATGGTGTTTGCCTTTGAATTTATCTTCCGCCTGAAACCTTTTGTTCTCCAAGGGGACCTCACAGAATTGAGATATGTCTGGCTTACCTGAGATCTGGAAAGATCTATTTTTCACTTCAGCAAGAACTTTAAAGAATGTAGGCCATGAATAGGACCTGGTTGCCCATTAACTGAATATGTGGCCATGAGACAAGTTTTATTTGGCACGAACAATAGTTTTTGTTTTGCTTTGTTTTGCTTTTTTTAATTGGGGTAGGGGGATTTCCCAAGACTACAGTGATTATACTTGTCAGGGGTTTGCTGGGATAAAGCCTGATCTTTATGGATGCCCCCACTGCTGTACTGAAATAATTACTAATTATGCCCCTTTCACTCTCAAAAATGACCCCAGTTGGAACATAAATTATTTGGATAACCTCCTAAAATAAAATGGATTCTCACATGCAGGGACAAATCTCTTTAGATTACAAAACCTATTCTGGACAAAATCTAAGTCTCTAGAAATTGTTGATCTATGGCTGTGTGAGGCCATTAAATGATTTAGAAAATTGAAACCTGAAAAAACTGTATCTATTTTGTATTTCTATTGTATCCCTTCGTAAGCACATTATGGAATGAGCCGGAAAACTACTGATACATTGTTTTATTTTGCAGGAAAATACTTGGCAGATAACTAACAAAGTCTTATGCAAGAATTTGGAGGATTCGTATAATGGAGAACTGTCATATGAGAAACAGGTTTTAATTTTGGTTTGATATAAATAAACCAAAATCTGTACTTGGGGTGTATCAGCCAGAAAGTCAGTGACTTTCAGTCATGATTTCCCTCACATGATACTATGACGACCAGCCCTACAGTATTTACTTCTAGGTGTAATATTGTTAATGGTTTTAAAATGTAATTATTGTATTTGTAAATTGTACTCTCATTCCAGTAAGGCAGTTAGACACTTGAGTTTTAGCATTTTACCATTCCTGAAATGGATGTAATTTAAACTGTGGTATGTAAATTTAATAGTAGTACTGTTGAATGGCACAATGCTTACAGAGGTAGACTGCATTTTGTCAATATATAAAATTTAAATATACTATTGATAGCTGTCATTAAGGGGGTGCCACACATAAAGAAACTTAAGTGGAACCAGAAGAAAAAGCAAAACTTACTTTCTTTAGTCCTTAGTAAGTTTTACTCTAGTGCTAAATAAAAATTCTATCTTCACATGTTTAGTGTGTTAAACTCAGAAATTATTTCAGAAAAAAATTCTAAGCTTACAGCATATTTAAAAAAAAAAAAGAAGCATTAATTACCACTTTTTAAAAAGCTTTTTTTTCAAACTGCAAATTTCATAAAAATGCAAACTGTGTAAACAGGGCCTCTTATTTTTATAACTTGTGTAAAAAGGGAAAGCAATTCATATTTAAAGTTTAAGTATATTAAATTATAATCAAGAGTAAGGAAGATGTTGAAGTCTTAATTACTTCCCCCCTCTCTACATCTCAGCAGATGTGGAGAATACTGAATAATCAGTCAGACTAAACCCAAAATGTTGATTTTAAGATTTCAAAACTTTCCATTGTTGAATTGGTTAACATTTGCACAATTACTTTGAAAGGATGGTCTCTCTCATCCAGCGTGGGGGGATGATAACCCTGTGTCTTCCTCTTCACCCACAGCAATCAAAACTTTGAGACTAAGAATCTTAGAAGAAAACAAAACAAATTTAGTCCCCCGTTTAGACCAAGAAGGAGAATTTTAATCATCCTCACTTATATAATTTGAGAAGGAAAGATATTAGCTTTATAAATGAAATTCTATTCACAGGATTGTGCAATAAATTTCCTTTTTGAAGGTTAAGAGTTACTGTATAAAACTATAAATCTTTGCTGATCTTGGGGACTCAAGAGGAGAGTTAGCAACAATGTGTGTTGCTTTCTTGTCATGAAATATAATAAAAATGAATTACCCAGTTTGTCTCCACAATACAGGAATTCAGGGAGAAGAAACCTTCCCCCCTTGAAATCTAAAAACATTAGTCTTCTCTGAAGTCATAAAATTTATTTTAATTATAAACCAATTTCTATCTCAGATTATACCATTAAATAACTGTAATTCTTAAGTTGTTATATTTATCATCAGTTGCTAAAATTCATTTTTATAGCTACTTGAATTTGACAAAGCAACTTTAGCCCCTTTCAATTTTAGAATCACATTAAATTTTTAAACTCTTACTTTTAAAATGAGCTTCTACTGGCAATTGTTTATAGTAGGACTTTTTAAATTAATATTTGTACTCTTTAATGCTTGCTACAAAGTGAATATTTAAAATGATCTGTTTTATTCTGGAAGAATTCTTCTTATTCAAACAAATTCTCAATTGCTATCCAAAGCAGTCTGGTGTTGAAGTCATTTTGAAGAAACTAATTAATATACTCATTTTAAGTAAATATATTCAATTCGACTTTGAAATCAAAATAAGAAAAGCAAATTTTCAAATCCCATGAAATGCGGGGAATTTAGAACACTAAAACCAGTGGAGAGTAGAAAATTGAGAATAATCCATCATATGAATATAAAAAGGGGTTTTTAAGTAATCAATTCATGAAAAAAATGGAATATTAACACAAAGCATATTAAAGTGTGTAAATATGACTGGTTCTCATGTCTTTCTCTTTCCATTTTATTTTATATATATCTAGAATGAACTAGTAATTAGACACAAGTTTCTCTTTTCAAAGAATAATTTTGTCAATATTGTAAAAATGTAATTAAAACCTAGATTACAATAATGTCTAACATTATTCAAATGTTTGCAGGAACTAAATTTAAAAACATGAAGAAATCCTACCATTCCTTAATTGATCTTTATGAAACAGAATGGAAGTCAGTAATTTAAAATTAGTAAACTTGACTAACCAGAATCTTGTCTTTTCAGAAAATAGGTCAAATAATAACCCAATACACTTGTATCAGGGATTTAGATTTTGGTGTTTTGCTTTTTAATCTTGTAGATTATAATCTGTTACACCTCTGTCGACAGTACTATCGAATAAGAATTTATGTTCCAAAAACTGACCCTAGACAATGCAACAATCCCAGTTATCAAAGACCTATTAAATCAGATTTACAGTTAATTTCTTAGTAGAACAAATAATTTTCTGTACCAGGGATTAAAATTAAAAGAAAGGGTTCTAGTTAACCAGAAAACACCATTTTCTGAACATTATGATTTATAACGTTCTGCTTTAGCAAAATAGAATATATAAATGCTACTGCTTTATTTTGGCAACATGGGAAGTATGTTTTCTTTGCAAATAAATTTCATATTTTCATGAAATTTTTAAGAATAAATTCTTATTAAGAATTAGTCTGAATTTTATCATAATAGAAATTTATAATTACTGAAAATTACATTTTTCATCATTTTTAAAGCTCTATTCTTCTCTACGCCTACAGACAAACGAAAATTCACTGTGTGGTATTTGAGAATATAGTTCACCTGCAAAGAATGAATGTCTACATTTCAGATTGTTTTGAGTGAATAGACAGAAATCTTTCAGAAACTCAAACTGTAGATATCCTCTTTTGTTTTTATATATTTTTACTCAATCTTAATCTGCAAAATGTTTCAGACATAGTTACACATTTCTAAGTTTTCTTTTCAAAGAAGCCGATAGCTATGTTAGCTCTACCGCTGACCCCTCTGTGTAACCTTGAACAAGTCACTATCCTTTTCAGCTTCTCATCTTCACAGTTGGAAATCCATGCATCTATTTTCCTCAGATAAGTCACTTTTTGAGACTTTACAAGGAAACGTGTCCAAACACAGCAGTTGACTGATTTACAATGAAAGCTGATAAATTCTTGAGCGGTTACCATGTGCCAGTCACTACAGATATAGCTCTTTCAATCCTTCTATCAATCCCAAAATTGCAGGTACTCTTTTTTCTTTTATTTCTTTCTCTCTTTTTATTTTTATTTACTTTTTTCATTTTTTGGTTATTGCCATAGGGTATGTGTACTTGCTGGAGAGAGACAAAGATATGTAAAGTAAGAAATCACCCCCTGGGGAATATGGCGATGCTGCAGTCCCTTCTCCTCCAGTCTCCTCTCGGGAATTTGAACACCCACACACATGCACCCTGCATGAGTTTCATGCTGGCATGGCCAGGATTTGAACCACATCCGGCCCTGTAGGAGCCCAGCATCTTAACTACCAAGCCACCTGCTGTCCCCAGAGGAACTTTTTTAATTTCGTGTTTACAAATGAGACCATCAAGGCTTGAACGATTACTTTTTCCAAAGTGACAGTGCAACTGGAAATGACACAGTGATCTTGACTGCAGACAGGGCATTTTGCTTTGTCCATTCTCAAAAATAAAATCTTCTGTTCTATTTTACTACATATCGTCCATTTGAATGCCAAGGTAGCATGTTCAATGAAAAATCAGTATCAAAAGAAGGGTAATTTCACTAACAAAATTGTTTAAGAATCAGTGTTATTCAAAGTGTGATTTGTGGGTCACTTATATTATCATCTATTAAAAGAGGTCAATGATTTGGGCTTAATATCCATTGTATCCCCAGAGCCTAGAATATAGTAGGCATTTGTATTTGTAGTCAATAAACAAATCTCTAGGCATGGGTTGGGAATACTTATTTTCGTAAGCATCCAATATTTGAGGATCACTGAGATTTGAGATCTCTGAGGTCCTTTTTAGTTCAGACATTATATTAGATTTAAACATGAAATTTAGGTCGATTGCTATATTTTTTAGCCAGTTAGGCTTTTGTTCAGTCCACTTAACTTTCTTCAGCCTTAAAAAAAAGATGGGGGTCTTTTTCTAAGAAAATCCCTATCTTTTCAGTAAGAGTTCTTCTATTACACTATCTAAGAATCAAAGTACCTGAAATACACTCTATCTTTTTCATCAATGTCTTAAAAGACTTGAAGTAGAAGCAAATAAGTGCAAATTATTACTTATTCCAGGACTGTGAAGTCCTAATAGAAGTCTCCTATCTTGTAAAAACACTTGTATTTCTAACTTGTGAGTTGAAGCTATTCATTTGGTAGGTCTTTGACTTCTCCAGCACAGACTAGCCTCATTCCAAGAGTTGCATGAATCATTTTTATTTCTGCTTTCTCTCAAAATAATCTCAGATTGTCGATTTAAGTTGAATGATAAGGTAAAATACACAGATAACTACTAAAAGGATGAGTATGCGTGTATGGGTTTGTGTTCCAGCAATCTTTCTCAGAAGATTATGCATTTGAGCAAAATTCCATTCAGTCTAAATGTACTCATTTTGCCATTTAATTTTCTGATCGCAATTTTTTAAAAAATGGAAGCATGATTTCCAATAATATCAAACAAGAGTGATCTCTGTATCCTTCAACATTAATGAAGTAAATATGATGATTTTATGAAATGAGTCAAATTGATATGAGTGAACAAACCAATCCAAATGACATTGACTAAAGAAATTTTTCTGATGTCCCACCCTCCTACCCTCTATAATACACTTCTCTCTTGAGGCTTTATTGTATTTTCCCTGCTCCTTTAGATTTTTGTGTGTGTGTTTTTTTTTTTTTCCATTTGGCAAACCATATTTGAATGTCATTCTCTCACTCATGAATTCAATATGACTACCAGTATCTTACTTTTTTGTCTATGGGAAAGTATGGAGGAAAAATAGGGTACATTGTGTACATTTCCAAATACTAAAATGAACAACAAAATACTTGCTTTTCTTTTGTTTAATTGCTTTGCAGTTCTGTCATCTTCTGTAGGCTAGAATTGCATTTTTAATATCTAATTGAACTCTGAACATCCTACTTGAAGAAATGTCAAATTTTAGGGTCTTTTGAGTTGACTTCAGTGAGACCTCATGATTGGCTTTCCCATTCACTACCTTATTTCTATCCTAAATGGGTATTCCTTTGAGAATAGGGCACTTCTTTGTTGATATTCATTATGGGTATAATAATTTTTTTGCCAGTTTTTACTTCTCTTATTTTTCCTTTGATTTATTGTATTTCTGATTGCCTCCTGTTGACCCTAGAGTAGTACATTGCCTGTCCTAAATACATTTTTAACCATGTTTAAAATAAAAAAAAAAGGTGTTTCAATGGAAAGTAAATATATTTTTAAATGTCCTTTAATTTTTTTTTTTTAAAAAGAAGTAAAGTTTACTTGGACTGTATTCACCAGTATTCCAGAATTTTCCAAATCATGTTCAAGTCTTCTAGTTCTGGCAAATGTTCATCATGGTCTGAAAACAAATGGTTTTATATGATAGGCCTCACCCCTTGGACTTTGACTAGAAACGTTAGTGTTTAAATGAAGCTTAAGAATGTGATTAGATCAGAAAAAGACTTCTTTTTTAAGCACACCTTGAAAAAACTTCAGAAAAGTGTTCTTTTAACACTAGTTTATATATCAATGATTTTAAGTAACATAGTCAAGGATGCTTTGAAAGATGCTTCTGGGATTTTGATTTGACTTTCAGAGAATTCTAGCCATTTCAAACAAATTATTATCTATTTTAAATTGTATTAGCATCTTAGTAAATTTAGCTTTATCATCTAAAACATTCAAAAGAAAACAATGACCTTCTATTACATTTTTAAGTATTATTTTTAAGACCTGCACATATGACCAACACATCAAGTCCCTATCTTGAGAAGATATTTCAAATTCTTTGTTGTGTAGAATTAACACTAGTGAACAATCTAAAGTAATATTTTATTAAGCAGCTTGAAGAAATTAAATTATGATAGATTAATGTTGACAGTATTTTTACATAAACTTGTTAGAAATTCTATGAAAAATATTCACTGTTTCATATAGATTTTGCAGGAGTCTGCGTGCTTTTAGTGAGCATTTTGCAGTTCATTTTGATGTTGAGTTATTTTGCAAATCAGTTGTTTTTACACAAAATTGACAATGTTTCTTTAAAAACATTGTTGGGTAAGTTGTTATCAGATAGAAAAGAGTAAAGCTGAATCACTTTGCATTTCTTGAAACATACTTTAATTTTTATCTATTCAGAGTTTGTGAATCAGCCTGATTGATCATAAGCCACTTATAATTTTAAAATGTTCCATTCTATGGTATAATGTGCAAATTTTAATTCCATCTCATTCAGTTTTATATTACTTTGTTGACTTTTTTTCCTGGCAAAACAAATGCTTAATGTTATTCATACATTATCACTTTAAATATTTTACATAATACACCAAATAACTATTATAGGGATCATTATCCCCAAGATCCAAAGCCAGATTTTTTCTTATGAATTGCTAGGATGATACGTCTTAGAGCTGTGTTGATTTTGCAGGTCAATATCTAATTCTTGCTTTGTTAAATGGATATGCATGAAAGAGATGGGCTTCTGTCTGATTCTCTCTCTCCCTCTCTGTTTCTCTTCTGTTCTCTGTCTCTGTCTAAAGGAAATGGAAAATTGCTGCTCAATAATTTTTCTTAAAAAGCCAAGTGTATGATGGTATGCTAATCGTAACTGTGAGCAGAGCTTCACTACAGGCCAAGCAGTAATTTCTAGAACTGGCTTTTTAGGTTGTTTGAACATTGTTGAGTTTCCGTTAAAAAGATTTTTTGTTTTTCACTACTATAGAAAAAGCCCTATGTAAATGAAATGGCCCAATTTTAGTTTTTAATCACTACCAAGTGGCAATATGTAAGACTGATGTTTTTAAACATGTACTTTGACAATAGAAAACTAGAAAAGGACTCCCAGAAATTTTGCTATCAGGAAAAGTAGTGAAATTCAGTTAGTTAAGGAAAATGTTCTCAGTGTATGTATTTTGACTAGGTGGTAGCCGTTTTAGTGTTGTCTATGTAGCTGAAGTAGACTGAATTTCTTTATAATTTTGTGCTGATTATATTATATAAAATTAAAGTATATAATTTTACAAATACCTCAGGCACAAAGTATTTATGAAAGGCATTATGGATTAAAATACTCAAGATACTTTTTTTTTTAATTGCCAGAGGGCATGTGTGCGTGCCAGAGAGAAGCAGAAAGACAGGGAAAAATTTTCCCCCAATGGGGTACGGTCTACACTACAATCCCTTCTCCATTTCTCCATTCTGCCAGGATTTTGGCCATGCATTCCACACATGCCCAGCATGTTTTTTAAGCCTCTGGCTCCCTTAACCATTAGTATGGGGTCAGTCTGCATAAGATACCTTTTAAATTTAGTCAAAATATTGATGCCTGGCCTTTTTTTTCCTCCATGTCAAATTCGATAGTGTATCTTTTAATTCTGATAGCCATTACTGCTTAGTCTGTAATGAAAGTTTTGCAGCTTCCATGTACTGGAGAGAAAATCAGCAAAAGAAGCAAAGAGCAAAGGCTTCTTCCTTCCCAGAACATCAGCAAAGCTCTCTGCCGAGCAATCGTGAAGAGTGTGTAGTATTGACTTGTGGAAGATAATCATGAGACCATCTTAACATTACTTGCCTTATAAGTTAGAAAAAGTGTGGATATCACTTTTTTTGTACATAGTGATTTTTATAAATATTTTCTCCTTCATAATTTTCCCAATCACCCATTTCACAAAACCCTGAATATGCAATTATTTATCATGACATATTACTGCAACTATGGTTCCCATTTCAGAACAAAGTTTCATTCTCTATGTGAGTAAGTTGTTATTGAAATGTGATTTTTTTTTTCTGGAAAATAAATGGAAAATACTAAAATAAATTGAGTTGTGGACTTTTTTTTTTAATAAGCCAGCTTCTTAAAATTTCACCCACATTCCTGTGGGTGCAACTTTCTTGCATGTTTAGGGTGGGGATGGCGAGTCAAAAATCTGGCAAAGATAAGGGCTGTGGAGTGAGACACATTCCAGCTCTGTGATTGAATGGTAGACCTGAGCATGTTTCTCATTGCCTTATCTTTAAACAATCAAATGTCAAGAAGTAATGTCCCCTAAGATAGAGTCATTGAAGGGATTAAATAAGGTCATATTTGATCAGTCACTTTGCAGTTGATATTTTATCATTCTTTTCTGTCTTTACCTGTATGTGAACGGTGGCTGGGATGGACCACAAGGCTGCACTGCTCTTTTCTCCACACTTCCTACATTTGAGCTGTCCGGTGCATTACTGTCGCCAGCGAAGGCTACCTACAGCAGCCAGTGCTAACCCAGGGCCAGGCATTAGGCAGGGGATTGGAGCCAGGGTCTTATTTTTCCCTCCAGAGACTGTCCCCTACAGGAGGGTCTCTACCGGGTTTGGCTGATTTGCTTTCTGTCTGAGGAGAGCCAATGAGCTTAGGAGGGGTAGTTTTAACGGAGGTGGAAGAGCTCTCTTTAACCTGAGTTAAAGCAGGTCCTCAACCCCAAACCACCTCCATTGCAGAGCTTCTCAAGCTTGCTTAGGCCGCGGGGGAGTCCTATCAGGGAAAGTGAAGGAGTCCAGCCGGTTTGTAATAAACAGCAGCGAACACCAGGAGTTCCAGAGGGCTCTGGGCAAGTGATTTAAGGACCTAGAAACTCACTTTTCTAAATCTGTAAAGAGAGAACAACACTTTCTTCACAGAGATCTTAGGACGACTAAATAAGACGAAACCTGTCCGTATCTGGCAAATGGGAGCTTTTATCCTTATCAACCATGCGCGCCCGGGAAAGGGGGAATGGAATCAGGCGTCAGGGCTCCAGGGAAGGGAAAAGTTGCTTTGGTTTCTCTGTCCTGGGAAACGGCAGCATTTCCCACTTCTCCCCGGCCACTTGCGGAAAAAGGAACAGGCTGACAGGCCCTTGGGGGTTGCACCTTCAGTCCCAAATATCCGCGTGATAGGGCTCCGCTCCAGCTCGCTGCGCCCCTGGACCCACTTCCCTTTGGGAGGTGCAGATGAGATCCTTCACACCCATAGGGCGGCTCAGAGGACCTCTGAGCTGCAGGCCGAGGGCGGTGTTTGAGGTCACCCTGGAGACCGGCCGCGGAGTCCCCAGGGAGTGCTCTGGCCGCCGGGGGCACCGAGGCCTGGGAGGCAGCAGCCACGCCGCGCGCCTCTGCCCGCAGTGGGCGAGCGTGAGGTCCGGGAGGACCAGGCGGCGCCTCCGCAGCTGCCCCAGCCCAGCCAGGTAAGGGCGCTCTCCGCGCCGCGTGGAGCAGGTGGGAGAAGAGCCTGGGTGGGGAGCTGTTCAGCGCTGAAAAACCGCCTGCCTCGGCCTCATCTCTCCACCGCCTTCCTCCTCGTCCCCTCAACAAATGAGAGAATGTGACCCCAAACTTGGGAACTGGAAGTAGGTCTCCAGCCTCTGCCTCCTCGCCCCTTGTGTGCCTGCGTGGCTGGACTTAGAGCGCGATGCCCCGCTCAGAGCTGGCAGCGGTCACCTCCCGGAGCCTGAGCTGCCCGGTCCTGAGCAGGACCGGCTGCACCCTGGGCACTTCCAGGCTCCAGGTTCCATCTCTGGCCTGCGGGAAACAGCTGAGGCTCAGGTCTGTCCGTGTGACTTTGGAACTAAATCTGAAGGACCCCCCTTAGGCTCGGTGTGTCTCTCTCCATAATAGACACACTCACCCCCATACACACCCACAGGCACACACCCAGAGATACGCACACTCCTGTACACATCACACACGCGCACTCATACCACGCTGCTTCCCTCCCCAACACCCGATACCCCGTTAACAGATATTAGCTGGGAAATCTTATCAAGGTCGTACACTGGACAACAATACAAACACCGGTTTCTACTGGGGGTGGCAGCTACCCATGGCTATCTTTTCTCAGTACCTTTCTCCCTCTTTATTACTTAAGTATTTTTGCTACAGCTTATTAACTGCTTAAGTGAATTGAGTAGTATATTATTACATAGATAAAGGGTATCAGGGTTGACATATTTTCAACTTTCCTGACCAGAAAAACAACATATTCCCCACAGAAAGTCCATCTGCCCATCCACAAATGGAGAAACATACTTTATTTGGCACACTAAGTACCGTCTACTTTATTCGGAATGAGTCTCTGTTATACTAAAATGTTTTTAGATCTTTCCTTTGCTACTGTACAAAAACCTTCTTCCATAGGTTACGATGATGTCGAACGTTACTAAAAACAGAGCTGCTCGGTCCCGGTCACTGAAGAAAAGGGGGAGTCTGTCTTCTCTAAGTAGTCATGAATTCTGGAGGAAAGAGCTTCAAGGGCGCACCAAAGAGTGAGTGACTGAATGTCTAATAGTTTAAAGTAGGTTATTAGCTAGGTACAGTGGTGTAGGCCTATAATCCCAGCTCCTCGGGAGGCTGGGGCAGAAAGGTCATGAGTTCATGACTGGCCTGGGCAACATAGCAAGACCAGGTGTCTTAAAAAAAAATAAAAGTAGGGACCAGCAGATGGTGTAATGGTTATGTCACTGGATTCCCAGAGAGTCGGCCGTGGTTCAAGTCCCTGACCTTGCGGCTTAAAACTCACATGGGGCGCATGAGCATGCTTACCCAAAATCTGGAGAGGAGACTGGGTAAGAAGGGATTACGGCATGGCCATTCCCATGGGAGATGATTTATTTATTTATTTTTATTTTATTATTATTCTTTGTTTATACATTCCATCACTACACATCATTTGGCTTGCAAAGAGAATTTACCCAACATGAAATGCACCTCAAACCAGTCCAGCTGAGATTACTACACATGTTATCAACAGGTAATAAACCATTACTGTATCCCACGAATGTCTGGCCTCTCTACTTTTTCCCCTAATTTCCTTCCCTATACTTTCCCCCTCTCCCACCAGGAGGTGATTTCTTGCTTTCTGTCTCTCTCTCTGTCTCTCCAGCGAGCACATGTGCCCTACAGCCAAAATCTCTCTGAAAACAAAAAGCAAACAAACAAAAGAAAAAGTAATACAGGACCAGCCAGTAGGTGGCATGATGCTTAAGGTGCTGGACTCCCACATGGCTGACCACGGTTCAGGTCCCAGAATTTGGCATCTTGCTTTTTCACTCCCCCCCCCCACTCTCTGTCTCTCTCTGGTGAGCACATATGTACTATACCAAATTTTAAAATAAAGTATTTCTGTATGGATGTGCAGGTCAAAGTGAGCAAGTACAAATTTCAGGAAATCATTTGGGGCCGTATTTTAAAGAGAGAGAGAGAGACAACGTAGGTGATATGCTTTTTTCTAACAACGTTGTTACCATTTCAAAGACTACCCAACACACCTTGTACTCTAAAGAAATACTGCATGCAGTGTTAACTAGCTACTCTTAGGAGTCTCTTGAATTCTTCTTCTCAATATTATGTAACTACATTGGTTTTGCATTTTTGTAACTAATGTATACATATATGTACAACACATACTACTTTTGTCATGTATTTTTTAAAGAATTATTTTATTTAATTTTACGTATTTATTTATTTTAATTTGACCAGAGCAGGACAGAGTGAGAGAGAAAGTGAGAAAGCTTCCAGGTCCGGAACTCAAACCGTGGTCAGCCATGTTGGAGTCCAGAGCCCCTAACCACCACGCCACCTGCTGGCCCCTGTAATGTATTTTTGTAATCTTTGTCCAAATGCCTTTCAATGGCTGCATGTTATTTTATTAATTATTTTGGAGTGTTTTGTTTCATTTTGTTTTGATTTTTGTTTAAATGTAAGAGACTGTGTGTGTACACATGAGAGAAAGAGAGAGAAAGAAAGAAAGCCCCCCCCCCCCCAGTGGGGCCTGGTTACATCACAACCTTTTTTCCCTTCATTTCTCTAACCTATTGGATCCTGGGCACATGGATATATGCCCAGTATATTTCTTCAAGCACCAGAGCCAGGATTTAAACCTACCTGACCTTTTACAGGAATGTTTGCCAACTCCTGCTCTATAAAGATAGATATTATTGGGGGCATGGTGATTAAGGCACTGGACTCCCATGTGGTGGGCCCAGTTCCAGTGCCAAACCTGGCTGGCTGCTTGAAAATCACTCCCGACACATGTGCATGTGAGCCCAAAATCCCAGAAGGAGAATGGAGAAGGGCAGGAGATGTGTCTATCCCTGCTGGGAGGTGATTTCTCACGTTCCTTCTCACTGTCTCTGGTGAGTGCATGTGCTCTATGGCAAAAAATCTGAGGAAAAGAAAAAGATATTATCATTCCCATACAGGAGCTTAGAAGGGTTGAGGTTCCAGAGCTACAGAATTAGCAAGTAGCAAAATGGGCTTTTGAATATTAGTAAAGATTTTTATTCCCTGAAAACTGGCAATGCATGTGCAATTTGCATTAACCCAGCAGAACCTTCTATTCCCCACCCATGGGTCCGAGCAGGTATTTACAATGACATCTTTCTTGTTGGAAGCTCAGCCTTTGGCAGCCACTGAACAGTGTTACAACAGATGTGTTCTCTCATGTTCTGAAAATGGAAACAGAAGCCATGAGGTCAGGTTACTTTCCCAGGATAATGTGACATGATACTCAGACTTAGGATCTCCAAGGTCAGTAGCTCCACTCGTAGTCATTCATAGTTAAGGCTGGGGCCTGAAGGACCTCTCTTTTGTCTTTAAAAAAAATGATCATGTTACCAGAACCTTCGATATAAAGTTTGCAGGTCTCCGCTTGAATTCAGCAATGGCATCTAGCAACTAGCTGGGCCACACTGTCTGTACTTCTTTCACTTACTCATTTACTCGGAATTTATTGAGCTTGCACTATAGGCCAATTCTTGTGCCAATACCAAGCATATAAAGGTGAATAACTGTAGGGTTCTAACTAAAGAAGCTCATTTTTCAAGGAACTTTTCATAGTAGGCTAGATCTGTGCAATAAAAGTGGCCAAAATAGCAATGCATTCATATTGCATTTGAAATCGTTATCATTCTAGGCACAGTACGAGCTGCTGA